TACTATAATAAAGTATATAATAATGCAATGCTAATCGACATAGCCTTTATCACTGCTTAGAATACTATGAAACGTAGGGCTGTCAAAAAAAAAATCGAATTTCGAATATTCGTTGAATGAAAAAAAAAAAAATCCACATTCGAATGCAAAAACGTGAACCAACTAGATGCGGCGCTGCTATGTTGTTCATTCAATATATTGTGGAAAACGAGAGCATCAGTGTGGAGAAGATGTTGTTTACGTCAAAACTGAAATTGTATTAAACTATACATACATGCATGGTGCTGTTTTTTCTTCTTTTAAGTGTTTAAGCAACTTTATTAATTATATATGGTTTATAAACATTATTTTAAACATTATGCACTTTTTTTTTCAAAGATAGTCGTGTTATTTTATTACGCTTTGAAGAAATGTGCCTAATATTTTGCGCAATGCGCCCTCTTGTGGCCTCAGGACAGGAGAGAAGCCAAAAGCTTTTTTTCCCCTAACTGAAATTATGCCTTTTAAATTCGAATATAATTCGAATTTTGATTCACTGACAAGCTACGCATGTAGCTTCCATAATCGCAGAACCATTTCTTCGATTTCATAATCGTGCGATTAAATCGTCTGCGATTATGAACGCGATTTTGCATAGCTTGTCAGTGAACTACGGCTCTGTAGTAAATGCTGCTCCGTCTGAAAGCTTGTGATGGAGATTTACTACTAATCACAGAACCGGCTTTACTGACAAGATGCGCATGACAATCGCATTCGATTAATCGTGCAGCCCTAGCGTCGGCTCTCCACATCTACTATTCACTGCTCTTGAAGTTAACCCAACTATGGGTTGATTCCAAACTTGTAACACAGTGAAATAAGTATTTTTATTAAAAGCAAACCAATTTGTCATATTTTCCGTATCAAACAAAACGCATATATAAATGATTGACCTTGATTATCCCGCCTGTTCTCAAGCTTGTCACAGTGTATCCACACTAGACTAGAGGCCAAATGAGGTATTTTCTAAAAGCATGCTTGTGGTTTGGAACCGCCTTTGCGTTGGCACATGTTGCTCACTGGGTTTTGGAACAGATAATTTGTTCTATCATTTGAAATGCAGATTTCGTGAAATCTTGTAACCGCACCGTGACAGCAGAGTTTGTCTGGATTTTCCACAGATGCAAACCAAAGTCAGGGGGGAGACACGAAGAGGAAGTCCCACTGACCACCACAACCAGAATGTACAAGTGGACACCGCTGGCGACGGATGTTTTCAGCTGCTTGGATGAACACCTGCTGCGCTTTCTTTCATTAACGACCCTTCTTCAATTAACGTCATTCTGCTTTTAATCGATCAGTGTTCTGGACGATTGGAGTGAGCCGGGTGCATTTGAATTTTTGTTGTTTGTCAACATGTTTACACAAGACCTTAATCACTGTGGACATAGAGCTAGAGGAAGTGAGAGGAGTACGAAACAAAGCAACATCATTTCTATTTAAGTTGATGTCGGCTGGAAACGTGCATTCCTGTGGTTATTTTTTTTCCTAAAGGGATGGGATAGTCCAACCATTTCCTTCTAAGACTGTTGGAATAGAAGCTGTTAATAATACATATGGGTAAATAATTTATCATTTTTCGACAGGGACATATTATGATGTTTAAGTGTATTAGTAGAATAAAATGGTATGTATATAAAATATACATTAATATTAAGTGATACATTTTCTTTGGAGGTCAGTACGTGTGATGTTCCTCTCATCTGTGCGTGCAGATGTCTTGCTGTCTTTGGTGCTGCATATCTCACTGGACCTTGTGAAAGAAAAAAGAAAAAAAAACACATTCTTTTACAGATGAATGAATCATGTGTGAAAGCTTTTCATAGAGGAAAATTATGAGATTGTAGCCTACTTGAACTTTCAGTTTAGTTTTGCTTAATATCAGTACAAGAACTCCCAAGACTGTCAATAAAACGCCTTAGTTTGCAAGTTTGAATAACTATGCAGGACTGTAAATGCTTCAATGCAAAGTAAGCTACTGCTTAGAGCTCCACTTTTGACATTAGTTGTGTTTGTGTGTGTTTGATGGGTCTGCCATTACCTCGCTGGACCGTTAATTCTTCCTTCCATGTCTCTGTTCCATTTCATCCTTTGCAACCACCTGTTCATTTCAAAATGTCTGGCACTGCTCACCTGCATCTTATGACTGTGTTCAAATGAGAATTGGCACCAAAGATGACAGCGTTCGCTCAGAGTTGACAAGCAACAGGTCAGGTGTCTGTGTGTGCTCAGTTCAAATGAGAATTGGCACCAAAGATGACAGCATTCGCTCAGAGTTGACAAGCAACAGGTCAGGTGTCTGTGTGTGCTCAGTGTAACATCTTAAATGTGTGGTCTCTGTGGATATTGTGATGGACTGACTTTTAAAATCCAATTTTATATATTGCTTTATTTTATTTTCTAAAAATGCTGAAGTGGATGGGCGTAATTTTAACTGATGCTCACCTTGAAAATTCTTATTTGGGTAGATTATTTTTGTCTTGATTCTGGAATTCAAATGCTGTCATTTTTGTTTCAAGTACAAGCTCTAAAAATTCAATAAAAAACATTGGCGGATATGGTTGTAAAGTTACTGGCATAACTGAGGGACTGTAGCTCACCCAAAAATGAAAAATCTGTCATTAATTACTCACTCATGTTGTTCCAAACCCGTAAGACTTTTGTTCCTCTTCGGAACACAAACTAAGATATTTTTGATGATATGTATAATATAAATTGTGCAGAGTTATATGTGGAAAAAATACACACACGCACTCTGCACATATGCATTTAGTGTGGGTTTAGGGTTAATGAGAGCGACAAATACATAATTGCAAGCTATAGAAAAAATACCTATGCATTTAGATGAACATATGTATATTATATTGTTTTTCATTAATATGTAATTGTGCAGTATGTACACATCTATCCACACACAGCTAGACAGACAATTTATATATAAACTCATATATTCTGTCTATACCAAGCATTAAACTAACTCATAGGCCGACCACTATTATTAAAGCATAACAAACACTCGTCATTCCTTTTTATTTCAATAAGAAATAAAAGCAACTTCAGAAACAGGAGAAAGCATGCTTCTTCTACAATGAATGTTTTATTTTTTTCCTTTACAAAACTCTGTCATCTAGAAATAGTTACAGTATACAAGAGGAGAGACATTTGCAGTTGAGCGCCTGGTTGTCAACAGCCAGTACAATAATAGAAGTGATAATATAGCAATAATAATGGTAACTGCAATAATAGTAACTAGATCATGGATGATAAAGCTTTAAACCAAATGAAATCACACTTGCTCCTTGCCGCCAGAGGCTTCTTTATATCAAACCAACATTAACACTGATATCCCTCAGATCTTCATGAGAATACAAGGGATACGAGACCTATATACTGGATATGATTCATAGCAAAACAAAAACGGGTTACATAGCATTTTATTTCAATTGCCTTCAGCCAGTTTTGCCTTCATATTAGCGTTTCTTCATTACTCATGCGAGACATACTTCCATGGATGTTTTCTAATTAGTGTCTAAGGCACTTTAAGAAACACGTCATTAAATGCTAACAGTGGAACAGGTTAGTACGCTTTCCGTTCATCCTCTTAATACTACTAGTGTTCAAAGCATCCCGTCCACAGCTATACTCGCCACCAAAATGCCTGTGAATGAACCTGTTCAATATTTCCTGTTGCTTTCAGCGCTGATTTCTCATTGATGTCTGGACCGTTTCAAACATCTTCCAATAAACTTTCCTTTTGGTTTCACTTGTAGTGTATCTAATAGAGCAGCTGGGTTTGAGAAGTACCATCATACTGTCACATATACAGGAAAAAAAAACCTTAAAGAGATTACATATGTATGCTTCATCTCGACGTGCATTTGCATCCAGAATACTTCATATTTCCTTTCCAGTTGAAATGGCCTTTTATGGCTTTCTTACAATGTGCAGTTAAAGGTGATTCGTGATTACATTCCAATTCCTAAAACACAAACCGCCTCCGTCACAGCTAAATCTCCCAAATAAGATCAAACAGGCCTAGAGTTGAATGAAGATAAACACGCAGGATTTCTTGCGTTTTAACTATTTAATGTTTAAATGTTAATGAGATGCTGAAGCGAGCAGCTTTTTCACAGTTTTTCCTTTTCTTTTCTGGTCCGTTTCAGATCCGGTCCAGTGCAACAGGACTTTTTTTTTTTTCTTTTAGTGTTGGCTTGTAGCGAACGAGCAGCACATGCATCTCTATCGACCCAAAATCTGCAAACCGTGTTTATTTGGAGAATTGTACTGTACAACTAAGATCCAATCCGTCACGTTTGCTTAGCTAGCTGATGGTTTTACATCATTAACTAGATTGGAGTGAACACTTTCATTGCACGCTCTTATGAATGAGTATATTCATGTACGCAAAGCAAAGTTTGACATTTGAAATGCACTTCTATAGTGTGTTCTGTTGTGAGCGCGGTATTTTGTAGGCTACAGTTGCAGGAAACACTAATTGGCTCGGTCTTGAAGCATCTTGGATTTAGAATAAGGCAGAGTTGATGCTCCCTTGGTAGGGAGGGGATAGAAATGGAGATTTGAGGGTAGCTTATGTCTGAACGTGTGTGTGTGTGTGTGTGTATGTGTATGTGGAAGTGTTAGTGTAGTTGTGTGTTTACATCGCTCACTGGTCCTCTTTCTGTACTGTGGACCCCACATAGCTAAAGGAGAAGAATGAGGTGCTGGAGAGGAGGAAGCAGTGGGGCTGGGTGACCACAGGAGGGCGGCTGTGCTCTACTCCGCTTGAGCCGGCGGGTTCTCGTTCAGGTCGCTGGCCTTGCTGTCCGCGTCATCGTCAGAAAACTCCCCTTCCATCTGCAGCTGCCTGCGGCCAGAACGGCTTGAGGAGAAGCTAACAGAACCTCCTCGCCTGCAGGAGACCACAAATAAGGTATTAGAGCACATTACCCAGCACTCTATATACTATTATAGTATTCATATTTTGAATTGTCTTTTATTTTTAATATTTTTAGCTTTCATTTTAATTTTAGTAATTTTGTTATAGTTCATCTTTTTTTTTTTTTTTTATATTTCTATTTATCACTATGAGTTTAGTAATTTTATGTGCTTTAGTCATTTTTATTAGTTTTTTTTTTTAAACAATTTTATGTGCGTCTGTAATGTTTTTATATATGTATTTAGCATTATTTTTATTTCAGTTTTAGTAATTTGTTTTATGTTTTTTATCATTCTATTTGTGACCCTGGAGCACAAAACCAGTCTTAAGTCGCTGGGGTATATTTGTAGCAATAGCCAAAAATACATTGTGTGAAAGAATATGACATCTGAATGTATTTTGCTTGAAAATGCACTACACTAAAATGCATTTTTCTATGTTTTTTGTCCAAAATGTTGTATGTCTGATGAAACCTATCTGCATTCAAGTGGTGATAAAACATGAACACATGAAGATAGAATAAAATTGTTTTTTTGTTTAAAAGCAGAGGCTCAGTTCTTTATTTTGATATATAATATGTTCATATATTCATAGCAGAAAATATTCTAGGCCGTCAAATTTAAGTGAATTTAAAGGCCATTTTCTCAATATTTAGATTTTTCTGCACCCTCAGATTCCAGATATTGTCCTATCCTAACAAATTTTTTATAATTTTTATTCGTTTTTAAAGATATTTCTATTTTGCACGTATTAATTTTATTTCGCATTAGTAATTTTATGTGCATTTGTCAAATTGTTTTTATATTTGTATTTAGCATTCATTTATTTTTATTTCAGCTTTAATAATTTGTTAGGTGCTTTTATCATTTTTAAGTTTTTTATAGTTTTATTTAACATGAACTCTTTCCCCGCCATTGACAAAATATCTTGTTAATTAAGAGACAATGCTTCAAAGACGAGTTTTTACGGCAATCTGTGTTCTAGGTGTATTACAGTAAGGAAAGCCCTAGCGCATGCCCTGAATGAGTTACGGGACTTCCACGATCACTCATGTTTTGACCATTTTGAATCTGATCGGGATGAAGTAGTCAGTGAGGGAGATGCCTTTACAGACACAGGAACTTCTAGTTGTGTCGTGGATAGACCGATAACCCGTCGATCTGGATATGTATGCATGTGTGTGTATATGTGTGTGCATGATCTATATATGTATGTGTATATATATATATATATATATATATATATATATATATATATATATGTGTGTGTGGGTGCCATGAAATTTTAGTGAAAATCATCAAAAATGCTGGCGGTGGCTGGCAACTTTTAAAAAAAATGCTGGCGGGGAAAGTTAATATATTTTAATTTTAGTTTTCGCAATTTTGTTGTGTGCTTATTTACATTAGGTTTTTAATTTTTTTTTATATATATAATCTTTTTAATATAATATTTATAGTTAGCATTAATAGTACTTTAAGTACTTTAACTTAAATGAAAATTAGAAATGTAAAAATAAATATTTTAATATAATATTTATATTGTATTTAATTTCAGCCTTATTTCAATTTCTGAAAATTATTTTTAATAGCTTTAGGTTTTGTTGTCAACCAACAAATGTACAAACTCAGCTATTTCTGGTCCAACAGTGTCTGAAATGGCAGTGAATATCAGCACTGCATCATTATTAAACAGTAGATAGGACATGATATGAATGCACAAATAAACAGGGTCAGATATTGATACAAGGATCTAAAGTATTGCAATATATCAGTATCAATATGTACCTGAGGCGGTTTTTGAGCGTGCTGACCTCTCGGCTCAGACCCTCACTAGCTTCGGTGGCATCGTCCAGCTCTCTCTGCAGCTTCCTGCGGGAGGCGTTCGCTCGAGTCGCCTCTTCCTCAGCCTCCTCCAGCTGCCTCTTCAACTGCTTCATGCGGGAGTTTGCCTTCTCCATCTAAAGACAGACAGAAATTCTGAGTCTCAGGTTTCTCTCTTATGAGAGAAAAACAACTAACTACAATTTATTGTGCATTATGTTTAGAGCTGTAAATCTGAAATTGAATTTAGCTCGGAGAGCAAAGTGGTTCGCAATTTATTTGACTAAGGTATAACATGTAATAATTGAGCAGCACATCAGCATATAAGAATGACTTCTGAAGGATCATCTGACACTGAAGATTGAAGTAATGATGCTACAAATTTAGTTTTGCCATCACAAGAATAAATTACGTTTTAAAATACAGTACATTCAAATAGTAAACAGTTGTAATAATATTTCACAATAGAACTGTTTTTACTGCATTTTCGATCAAATAAATGCTGCCTTGTGACAAGTTTATCCGCAAAATCTGTCCAGCGCCTTGGTAGCATAGTTTTGGAAAAAACTTGTAGAAATGCTATAAAACCAGCAAATCAGAAAATGGAAATCTTTAGATTTGTCCATTTTATAGGTATCAGATGTTTCATAAACAGTCCATGGAAGTGGTGTAATTTTTTTTCAGCATAAGCTGCTGGGGACCTAGTACACTTTGAGAATGGAGATTAGGATTTGGGTTTCATTCACCTGCTCTTTGTACTGGTCAGCATGGCGCCGCTCATCCTCCACTTGCATGAACACCTCCTTGAGTTTCTTCTCTGTGCGACGCACAATCTTATTGGCTGCAGCTCTCTCCCTGTGAAGCGCACAGATCATACACCATTGCCAAAACACGAGTTAGTGCCAATGGTTTTCATTCAGTCAGAACGTGGCATTAATTGGTTTCTTTTCACGGTTGCTTACTTTGCTTCCTGTTCAAGCTGCTCCTCTAGCTGGATAATCTTGGCCTCCAGGGCGGCGATAGAGGCCTTGAACTTTGATTTGATGGATCCCTCAAGTTCCTGCAGTTTGGCCTTCAAATCTTTGTTTTGCCGCTCCAGCTGCTGACGGGCATTCTCGCTCTTCTGGGCGGCACTGCGCTCTCCCGCCAGCTCGGTGTTCAGGGTATCCACCTGAAATACAGGCACAACAGCTGTGACTAAAGACGTGATGTGTCAAATGTAGCCAAGAATGCTTATAAAGATGACAATTAGACATCTTGCAAAGATCACAAGCACACAGAACTTTGAGAGCAGGCCATGATGACAAGTTTAAGAGTGTTGAAAACATAGCTTGATCATAATTACAGCAGCTTCCTCAACACCACACCTGCATAGTGGTCTTGCGGAAGCGGTCGTTCAGGAGCTCCATATTGCTCTGTTCCTCCTCTAGCTCTTCCTCCAGCTGGGCAATACGAGCCTCCAGCCTCCTCTTCTCATCCAAGAGGGCTGCCCTGAAGAAGTGAAAGTTAGAAAGAAAGTTAGTTGCGACTTCCGGTTCACACTGACTTTGAGAGGTTTGCAGCACAATGACTCACTTTCCAGAGGCACTGTTGGAAATCTCATCTGCAAGCTCGTCTCTTTCCTGTTCAGCGTGGCGTCGGGCTCTCTCTGAAGATGCCAGGTCCTAAAATCACAACCAAACCATAAACAAAGACTCGCCAGTTGAACTAATCCAACTTAAAACGGTGTAGAAAAACAAGCAACAGATTCTTCAGAAAGGCTTTTTTCAAACAGACATGTATTTCAGTGTCGGCTCACCTCTTGCAGCTGCAGAATCTCAGCCTCGAGACTCTTGAGCTTCTTCTCGTTCTCCTTAGACTGAGCGAAGATCTCATCACGAGAAGCGCGCGCCTCCTCCAGCTCCCTCTGGTAGTCCTTCATCTGGGCCTGGATCAAAACAGAGAGATGTTGTCATCTGTTCTTCTCACATTTTGTCATATCACTATACTGACTATGACCTAAAATATTAAGTCTCAGTAATGCAGTCAATGATGTAGACATCTGTGTCACTACTAAAAGGCAGATGCACTTGGAGCTTGTGAGGATAAACAGATTATGCTAACAAGTCATTTCTTGCATTATCTTTACATTTCTGTGCATGAACAGCAGCATTCTGGAAAAGATTCTACCTGGAGTTTGCGTAGCTGTTTAATGGCTTCATCACGGGCTTTGTTTGCAGCCTCGATCTGAGCTTCCACATCTTTGAGGTCCATCTCCAGTTTCTTCTTGGCAGCTACAGCAAGAGCTCTCTGCTTCCTTTCATCTTCAAGCTCTGCCTCCATCTCACGCACCTGAAGGAACAGGAATCATGGATCAAAAACATATATCAGACAGGTTAACTATGAATAAAAACTATTTCAGACTGTCACAAATTTGTTACTTGTTGCTTCTTAAGGTATTAACCCTTTTTTACACAAAGTTGCCTCAAGACTTACTTTCTTTACTTGAAAGCACGTCAGATATATATATATATATATATATATATATATATATATTGTGTGTGTGTGT